AACATGTAAATCAACGATTAAAGTCGTAGAGTGAGAGAGAGACAAACACACACCAGGCAACTGCCATCCAACTAGCTGGCGAGAGGTCTACACTTCTCAAAGACATTAATCCAGGGTATCTTTCGGCTAAGCTACTAATCTGCCAAGCAAAGATAATCAATGGTATGACTAGTTAGGAAATCATTTTTAGCAACTCTAATCACTAATCAAGAAAGAAATATCAACACAAGAAGACGAGAATATATTTTGTTATGCTTGGATACAAAAAATTCACAAAAAAATCGAAACATTTTTAACTCAATCACATTATTATCAATATTATCAATATAATTAAATAATACCAATCAATCATTCTTACACTACCACATCAACTCACATAATTTTAAATAACCATCACTTCACATCATTTTTCTCATACATTTACGTCAAATCAACTTAACTATTTTATTTTAAATATTATTTTAATAAACCTACTAACAACTAACCATACTACTTTTTTTCAAATTAACCAAACCAAACCAAAAAAATCCGAACAAATTAAAAAATTCTTATATCCAAGCATCCCCTGAAATGGAATAAATACAATCTATAATGCACAAGGATAGTATTATTATTAAGAAAAAAAAAAAGAAGCATGTCGGTTCATCTTGTCAAAAGTGACACATCTTTTACCCATACAAGTATTCTAATAAAATTATCCTTTATTGATTCTTCAGTATTATAAGCAATTGAAGCAGGGTAGGATGATACTACCAAAATATTTATAAAAAAAGAGAAAATTTCATCAATATCCAGCAAGTACCTTGTCTGTTAGAGGAACCCTTCCATATGGAGATGATTGCTCAAAGTATTGAAGGTAAAGATTACCGAGTCTTTCATTTGGAAGCCAGAAACTATCCTGCTCGATTATGCCTTCCTCAGAAGAACATCCATCCCATCTCCATAACTTCTCACATTCACTCTCCTCACTGAATGAATCACTAAACGAGTCCCTCGTCTCACTTACACACTCATTCTCATACCTATTTTAATTATACAAGGTTAATTATAATTCATTAAACAAATAATGTAGCCGCATTAAATTTTACCAAGAATATCAATCAACCCTGTACAAACTTGATCAGATTACCTCAAATTTAAATATAAAAAAGAACAAATGGGAACTGGAAGAGAATGTTTTATTAATCCTTTAGTACTTGGACATTTAACCGATTTAAGGGGTCTAAATATGGCATTACCTCAAACAGTTTACAGATGAACTGCTGGTGAAAATTTGGATAGCCGAGAGATAAGGCACAAAATACTGAATTAGAGTTTGGCCAAGGATTGGAACTCCAGCACCATATGCACTCCATTCACCAAAACTATTCCAAAGATCACCAAGCACAAAGTAGTCCACTTTTTCTCTTTCCCAAGGATGCCATAGCTTATTAAGCTTCCTAGTCTCACTCTATACCAGGGAAGAAATATTAGAGGAACCAAAGCAAAAAATCATCAACCATGGCAAAACAACCTAAAGAATTAAATTAACAAACAATACAGGTCAACAATATCATACAGAAACGATGTAACAAATAATTATAAATGTACCATTGACCATACGAGCCTGACACACATAACAAAATTATTTGTTTATTATTTTTTATTAAAAAANAAAAAAAGCCCAGAAAGAAGAAAGGGAACAAGGAAAGAGGGATGAATATATAAAGGGATAGAGGAAGAGAGAGATTGACGGGATTTCCTTTCCCTCTCTAGTCGATGTAGGAGAGAGAGAGAGAGAGATAATGGGAAAAAAAATGGAAAATTGGTAGCGATTACTATCTTTTGACGTCTGGACAAACTATTAGCAAAATCCGCGAGTCTCTATCATTTGTAGATTGATTTCTGTTTTTCCTCTTTCAAGACTCCGTTCTGTCTATCAACCATTCTGATCACCGGAAAAACCGGAATCAGACCAAAAAATTTCCGACCCCGTCCAAAAACCTCAATAATTTCACGTATCTTACCCGGATTTTTTCCTCAACAAAAAGTCTCTCAACCGTCAACAAGTGAGGTCATAAAAAAGCAAAGCCACAAACCTTAATTTACTGTTCAAGATCCCAAACATCTTTCATAAACAAACATTCTCTCTTCCAAATTTTTTACTCTGATGACGACATGCGCCCTGTTCTGAAATTACAAGATAAATCCGCAAATTACGCTCGCGCAGTCTGTGTTTTTCAAAGAGCAAAAAGGAATTGCAACACAGATTTTTAAGCGAAGCTAAAAAAAAATTGGATCACGCAAGGAGAACCGCGGCAGGCTTTTTGTGAATCGATGAATTGAAATATAATCCTTTTTTTCAACAAAAATCCATGATTTTTGTTTTTCAGATAAAAAAGGGGAAACAGCTTTTCTTGATAAAAAGCGGAACCAAACGCTCACGTCTCTATGTCAGAGCTTTGACGCAAGACTTTTGGTCATGAGAGAAAGTGAGAAGACTTTGAGAATCATTATAGATGGGGATTTTTCTTTGGGACGTCCCATTAATGAGAGATTAATTTATGAAAAAATAGTTATTTACTTTAAAGGATATAGTATAACTTTTTGAAAAATGCTACAATTAATGAGAGATTAATTTATGTCAACGAGAGATCAGCTATTATTCACGGTTACTTGAAGATCTAACGGTTACAAATCCCAACGGAATGGTTCCATAACGAGATTGTAGCCTTACCTTAACTTTTTCGCTAAATTTTTGCACCCATTAATTGAGCAAGTGCCAATAATAAACTACAAATAAATTCAACTAGAATGGTCATTAATTAAGATTCTAATCGTTATTAGAAACTAGATCTTTGTAGAACTCTAGGTTTCCTTTGAGACTTAGAATTTCATTTTTATCGTGACTCTCACTTTCTTTTTCGAACAAGAATCCCAAGTCGGATCGCCGTGTTCGTCGGAGAAGCCGTTGCATGGAAAATCTCGCCCACCAAGTCAGTCACCAATGATGTCGTTGCCATGAGCGTCGTAGTCGTCGGGACCGTCGCCCAACAGCCATCGTGCCACAGGCGCATCAGTGCCCCATCAACTATTGGAGCAAGGCACACAAGGCCGAGGCCAGTGCTGTCGTCGCCAGAGCTCCGCGTGCGCTCAGTCGCTGGGCCATGGCCACGGGTGCTGCATGAGCTACTACGAATAAACATAGGTTCGTCGCCACCCGCGTAGTTTGCCCGCAGCTCTTCGTTGATCCGCTATCATCCGACTACTTGCCGTTGTTCGTTTGTGGCGTCCCAACGCGCACTTGGGCGCACCCGTGCATGCACGATGTCGCGTGCAATAACGACTATGGGTTCACGGTTGGCTTGCCTCGTCGGGGTGTGCCGTCATCATCTTGATCATCCGAGCTCGTCCACGTCCACCACGTCAATTGAATAACATAATATAAAATAATTACGTAATTCAATCATATGACCCACGCAGGAGTCTTACACGAATGATCTAGTAAAGCTTTTAAACTATGGGGTGTCCCACCGCACGAATAAATTATTGCAATCATTCCACAACCCAAAAATCCGACATGTCCAAGGCTTATAAAACATGCATGAATTAAAACATACATACGAGCCACAATAGTTGGATTCAAGAACACCTACAAACAATCAATTATTTTCAATGTTTGTCTACTATGCACTGCGCCGGTACACAATTAACACACATATGTTAAGAAAGTCCTAATTTGAATAGTGCACAAAGACGAACTAAACCTAGGCTCTGATACCAGCTGTTGGGTTCTATGACCAACGTGAATGATGTGCACATCAAAATCTATTAAAAGTAAATCCTAATGTAACAGAATCTATAGTAAGGATTAGGTCTTACGGTTTAAGATTTTTGCAACTCTGTACAGACATACACTGCCTATAGGGTCAGGCAAATGATTCTGAGTTGTTCTTTACACCAGACTTCCCGTCCTCTCATCTCGTTGTTTGTCGTGCCCATCTTGTCGAGTCGTTTAAGCTGGTGGTTGTGTTGACCTCCAGTGGTGGTGCTTTCTAAGTTTCGTGGTAGTCGGAGGTTCTGCGAGGATATATATATTTGCCGGGATGCGAAAACAAGACTTTAGGAACTTCTGTTCTATGACCAATCACCTGCTCTGATTCGTCTTGGTATGCTACTCGTTGGATTTCCCAAAGCCTCACGATTCTATCCAACTTTCCTCTGGTAAGCTGGATAACCTGATCTCCCTTGAGCACCTCTTGTCCCCCAAGATTCAACAGCTACCCCTCTATTTGCTCCTGAGGGTAGTTGACCCATGGGTCTTCTTGTTGCTATGCCCTAGTACCCCGATCCGCTACCTGTTCATATACCTCCTGACCACTTGTTTCCTGCTGGACGGTGATCGATTCATGCTCTGCCGAAATTACCCCCTATATATTTTACTAGTGCGCCTCCTGACTTCGATCAACCCGACGGGGGGCCTGTTCCAAGCGCTCGCGATGTCCACGCTGCATCCAACTCTTTAGTTATGTTTTTCTTGGAATTTTCACCTGCCATAGTCTTCGAACTTCTTTGAATGTGAGAAAAACCAAGTAGTCCCTTATAGCCGATAAAAGACTAGTGTTTTCCCACAGAGGACGCCAATTTGATACGCAAATTTCCTCGAACTGAGTTCAAAAAACGATCTCTCGAACGGCCACCATCTCGGAGCTCCGTTAACCTACAAAATGTCGGGACAAGTCTCAATAAAAAAACCTCTGATGCTCAAGTTAGTATTTTGCCCGTGAGAGAACTGGTAATATGTATAATGTTTTGTGCGTGTATGTTATGTGTAAAATATGATAACTTGGTCACCTTTAAATACTTAGAGTAGCTTTAATGCCCAAGAGAGTCCTAATTAGGAAAAAAAATCTCATGTTCTGAAAACCGAACCGATCATCGAACCGGTTAAGCTATTGGTTCAATGTTCACTGGTCGGACCAGTGGTCGAACCGGTTTAATTAATATATAATTTTTTATTTATTGTATATGTATAATATATATAGTTGTATATATATTTATCATTAATTTTTTAGTGTATATTGACATTTCTCTGTTGAGGTCTCAACGAGCCTCTGGTAAATCCTCCTCTTCTTTAAAAAAAAAAAAGTTCAATAATCAATATCCTAGTTGTAGTTTGACATAGATTTATAATTTGTATTTTAATTTTTAATTTGGATTTAATTTTATTTTTCTTTTAAATTTTCATTATGTGAAGAAATAAAATTAAAAATCAATTTTGAACCTCGATTTGATTAAAATTTAAAAATATCAAAACTTTAAGACCTGGGTTTTAAGTTGGAAAACTAAAAACTTGGTGGAGTGTGAGACTCGAACACAACAACAACCATACGCAATGCGCCATTCCACCCACTACACCACGCGATCAATTATTATCTGTTAGTGAAAGATTAATTATTTTAAACTCAAATAAGTCCAAAATTAAAAACCGTCGAACCGGATGAACCGTCACCGGTTTACCGATTTTACCGGTTTTTGACCGGTTCGAGCGGTTCATGAACGGTTTTTGGGCCCAGCGGTTTAATGCCCAAACTGGACCGGTGTTATGGCCGGTTCCAGGTAGTCGAGAAAGCCTCCCCCTCTCCAGTCACCGTTAAGTACGTGACAGTCGGTATGCCCTCCCGACTTTGGAATCATCCCGAGCCTCACCAAGTGGCCAAGTATCTCAACTCTCTCATCCCCAAGGCCGATAAGGATCGTGTCGAGGGCAATACTTACGAGCGCTCCAACTACGCCATTCTCTGCCTCTCTCGAGTATTCTTTTCATCTCCTAGTCGACTCTTATCTTATTGATTTAGTCAGCTTTACTTATTTTCATTATTTTCTCAGTTTCTTGCCGCGGCGCTTCCTTGTCTCGAGGAAGAGAGTAAGGTTCCCATTGTCTCCGTCCAAGCTCTTCAAGATAAGCGTGATGCCCAACGCCAAGAAATCAACACGCTGAAAGAGGATTTGGAGGCGTCGCGGGCTCTCGTCGACAAGCTGAAGGCCGACAAGGCCGTGTTTCGGCATATGAACGAAAAGTTGAAGGGCGACCTTGAAAAGGCTCGCGAGGATATCCTGGTCGAGAGAGAGGCCGGGGTCAATGAGGGATGGAGGACATTTCTGAAGTCCCCCATGGGCTCTATCTTCCTCAAGACCTATCGCCAAGTAGTCGTCCAGGCCTTCTGCAATTCTCCTGCTTTCCTCGACAAACTCTGCCCCACTACCCTTCAACATTTCGAGCATACCTTTGCCGCATGGGAGGCAGTGGTGGCGGGGTCCGAATTCACTGAGAAACTCGATCGCGAGGATGTTAAAGCGACATTCCTCGACCCAGCGGGTTATGAGGGCGACGAGTCTGTCCCAGATGACTATCCGTGGTGGTCGGGACTCGAGGCTCGGGCTATTCTCAAGGCTGGCTTGAGCGCGCAACTCGAGGTTCCTCTCACACCCTTGGCCGGTCCGACCGAATTAGTCAGGCCAAATGGGGCTAGTCATGAAGAGGAGGGGGTCGAAGAGGCTCATGTCGAGAGGCAGGGGACAGAGCCACTTGTTGATGGGGATGCCGAGCGGGGGGATGAGGGGGTAGAGAAGAATGCCGACGAACAAAACATTGATGAACCGAAAAAAACCGCGACTATTGTGGAAGGTGGAGACGACACCGTTGAGAAGTCGGATGCCGACTTTTAGATGTGTTTGTCTAACTCGGGGCTGTGCCGCTATCTTTTGAAGCTGATTTTCTTTCTTGCAATTTATCGTTCTCGACCTATTTTCACGGATTGTAAAGGTCGAGACGATTCTGATTGTACTGAACCACTTATTATCAATGTCATTCTATTTTGTTTTCTTCGTCACTTTCGTGTCGTTTCTTGTCAGTGTTCTTTTAATCATTCTCAAGTTGTCGTGCGTGTTTGTATTTTGAGTCGTCTTGCTATCATACTGCTTTGAGTCAGCTATTATTATTCTGACATCAACTGTTGATGAGTCGACTCGTATGGGCTTGATCATATCACTCCTCTATGTATCTTCTCCCAACCTTCCTTGCGAGCTGGTCGAAGTCGAGTAATGATTTTACCAGCTTCGTAGCTGATAAACGTAAGTTTTTCAACTCGTCTTCTTCCAACCTTTCTTGCGAGCTGGTCGAAGTCGAGCAATGATTTTAGCAGCTTCGTAGCTGATAAACGTAAGTTTTTCAACTCGTCTTCTCCCAACCTTTCTTGCGAGCTGGTCAAAGTCGAGCAACGATTTTAGTAGCTTCGTAGCTGATAAACGTAAGTTTTTCAACTCGTCTTCTCCTAACCTTTCTTGTGAGCTGGTCGAAGTCGAGCAACGATTTTAGCAGTTTCGTAGCTGATAAACGTAAGTTTTTCAACTCGTCTTCTCCCAACCTTTCCTGCGAGCTAGTCGAAGTCGAGCAACGATTTTAGCAGCTTCGTAGCTGATAAACGTAAGTTTTTCAACTCGTCTTCTCCCAACCTTTCTTATGAGCTGGTCAAAGTCGAGTAACGATTATAGCAGCTTCATAGCTGATATACTTCGGAGCTTCATTATCGCGATTTCATATTTGGTTGTGTAGTTAGCTTTATGTTTATTTCAAGATTTCTCGTGTGAATACTTTAGTACTTGTTTAAGTCGACTTCATGGCTTATTCCACTTGAGAGTACAATTTCGTAGTTGTGTTAATCAACTTCGTTGTCGTAAGCTTCGTAGCTTATTCGCGATTCCACTCGAGGGTACAACTTCGCAGTTGTGTTAGGCCACTTCATAGTCGTAGGCTTCGTAGCTTATTCGAGATTCGTAGCCATCATCATAGCTTAAATCGACTTCGTAGCCTGCTCGAGATTCCACTCGAGAGTACAACTTCGTAGTTGTGCTAGGCGACTTCGTAGTCGTAGGCTTCGTAACTGCTCGAGGTTCCACTCGAGAGTTAATCGACTTCGTAGTTGTAAGCTTTGTAGCTTATTCGAGATTCCATTCGAGAGTTACAACTTCGTAGTTGTTTAAATCGACTTCGTAGTCGTAAGCTTCGTAGCTTATTTGAGATTCCACTCGAGAGTACAACTTCGTAGTTGTTTTAGTCGACTTCGTAGTCGTAAGCTTCGTAGCTTATTCGAGATTCCACTCGAGAGTTACAACTTCGTAGTTGTTTAAATCGACTTCGTAGTCGTAAGCTTCGTAACTTATTCGAGATTCCACTCGAGAGTTACAACTTCGTAGTTGTTTAAATCGACTTCGTAGTCGTAAGCTTCGTAACTTATTCGAGATTCCACTCGAGAGTTACAACTTCGTAGTTGTTTAAATCGACTTCGTAGTCGTAAGCTTCGTAACTTATTCGAGATTCCACTCGAGAGTTACAACTTCGTAGTTGTTTAAATCGACTTCGTAGTCGTAAGCTTCGTAACTTATTCGAGATTCCACTCGAGAGTTACAACTTCGTAGTTGTTTAAATCGACTTCGTAGTCGTAAGCTTCGTAACTTATTCGAGATTCCACTCGAGAGTTACAACTTCGTAGTTGTTTAAATCGACTTCGTAGTCGTAAGCTTCGTAGATTATTCGAGATTCCACTCGAGAGTTATAACTTCATAGTTGTTTAAATCGACTTCGTAGTCGTAAGAATTAGTCGGCTATATATAGCCGTTTTCAAAAATTCGATTTTTTAGGTAATCATACATAATTGAAGCATAAACTTGAAATTCATTTCATTACTGAATTTGATTTGAACATTGTTCAGTACAAAAGGGAAGTTCAAAATATTGCCTTAAGTGTAAAAGCGTTGAGATGGATCACGTGCCAGGATCGCGGCAGTTGTCGATCTTCTCCATCCTCGAGTTCATACGCACCTCTCTCGAGCACCTTTGTGATAGTATAGGGTCCTTTTCAATTAGCTTCGAGCTTCCCTACATGCTTGAGAGCGTCGGCTTGTTTGAGGACGAGATCCCCCACTTGAAAACGTCTGGTTCGGACCTTCTTGTCGAAAGCTGCGCGCATCTTCTGTTTGTACTCGACAGATCGTACCCAAGCTTCGTCTCGCCCTTCTTCAATTAGGTCGAGGGCTTTCTCGATCATCTCCTCATTTTTCTTTTCCTCATAGAATGTCGATCTGTGAGAGTTCAAGCCGACTTCAACGGGCAGAAGTGCATCCATTCCATAAACCATGTGAAATGGAGATTAACCCGTCAAGCTTCTCGGAGTAGTCCTTTAAGCCCATAGGACCGTTGTCAACTCGTCAACCCAAGCTCCCGATGCTTTCTCCAATCTCTTCTTCAACCATTGGAGAATAGTTCTGTTCGTTACTTCGACTTGACCATTTGTCTGGGGGTGCGCAACTGAGGCAAATCGTTGTTTGATTCTCATGTCGAGGCACCATGCTTGGATCCGTTTCCCTTAGAATTGAGTTCCGATATCTGAGATTAGCACTTTTGGAATTCCAAATCGACAGCAAATGTTATTGATAGGAATGTATCATCTTTTCTTCAGTAATTCGAGCTAAGGGTTCTGCCTCGACCCACTTGCTGAA